TTCTTACTCTTACAGCAGGAGCAAAGTTAATACAACGTAAGTCCTTGAAAAATCCTGATAGGTTTTAAGATTTACAAAACAGAAAGCTAATGAAATATGAGGCAGACATTCTTCATTCTAATTCTTTCTCAGTTTTTGGAAATTTTTTAAAGTCTCTGAAAACTAGACACTTGCTTAGTTCAAATTTTTATATTAAGACTGTTTAACCATAATCTGCTGCCACTAGCTTCAAATACTATGTTTTATTTACTTATCAAATTTATTTGCCACCCATCTCATATAGTGGTGGGATTCAAATAATTTTACCACTGGTTTGGTGGTTTATGGCTTGGTGGGCATGCTTTGCACGCATGCACACACTTTGCTTCCACGTGCCAAACATACACTTTGCGCAGGCACAGAGGCGTTTGCTCAGGCACAGAGGCGTTCTAACTCACCTCCTGCAAGCCTGCAGAATCCCAGTCACTTCAGCAGCTGCCGCGCAGAACTCTTCTGTGCCGGGCAAAGCAACTGTGCTTCAAATTCAGAGGATAAAGGTGAGTATGGGAGCCTGGGCAGGCAGGTGGGCCCAACAGCAGAGTGATAGAGAGAACCGGTTCGGTCTCCGCTGCTCATCGCCGCTACCGGCTCTGCAGAACCGGGCCGAACCAGTAGAATATCACCACTGATCTCACAGTTCAAGGTGAGATTCCACAATGGCTACACTCCTACACCAATATACTGCTTGATGGGTAGCATAACATGCAACGTAGTCCTTCACTTTGGCTTATCTGGAAAAGTTTTCCAATATTCTAAAAATGTCCAAAGGCTTTGCAAGCAACCCAAAATGCCTCTTGTCATCCCACAATGCCTCTTACTCAAAATATTAAATCCTGCTAAAAAAATATTAGTAAGAAAATTGCATCTCTTAAATGCAAATCAATGCCAAGGGGCAAAAGAGATGATTGTCCCTACAAGCAGCCTCTCACCTCCTTCAGTTTGCAAAAGGATGCCCATAGGGATTGGGCAAAGAGGAGCTTCTAATGCACCTACCTCCTGAGCTGCCATGTTTTAACACAAAAAGCAGCACTGAAAAGTAGGATTAGTGACTGTTTCACCAGGCCCACTGGCAAAAGTCCAAGGCTTCTTCTAAACCAGTTAACAATGCCATTTGGTTTCCATCAAGCTCTGACTGGGATTTAACAATATGGACAACTTCTCCTAGTCTCCAGAAAATTTAGATCATTGAATCGCAGGGGGGGACAGAATTCCTACATCTGCAGTTCTTCCAGCAAATCCTGCAAATGCACAAGCAGGGACTTTCAGAAGACAACAGCTGCAGAGGAAAATGGAAGAGCTCCTTATTCATAGAACCCTAACAGCTGAGAGGAACCAAAAAGCTACTTTTGCCAATCCCCACCTGCTAAATCTCCACTCCTTCCCCATCCACAGCACTCCCTATGCAGATGCTATTGGGGGAGAGAAAAAAAGGATTGTTGGAATAAATTCCTCCAGTAAACAAGCCTACCTTCCCTTCTTACTTCCCCAAAGAGAAACTTCTGATGGTTAGATTTTTTTGTTTCAATATGGATTCAAATTAAAAACCCACCCTTCCCCTTCACACCCACAATGTACACACCATCACAATCATCATTTGTTCTTAAATTCATTGGGGCATTTATATATATATATATATACATACATACACACACATACAATATATACACATACACATATATATATTCTTTTGTGAAATTTCACTTCTTTCTGCCAGAATGGCCAAGCCCTGGAAGTGAAAAGACTCTCAGTTGTTCAGCCTCCACGGATGCCCAGGGCTTACAGAAGGGCAGAGATGAGAGGGGCATTCTCTGCAAACCTACACCAGCAATACACCTCTGCCAGTACCTAGCTCCTATGGCCTCAACCTCGGGGGCGAGATGAGATTTTAAAAACCCAGCCTGCTGTTAACACAGGGCTACTGCAGCCTTCAAGGTAGCCACCCACTGCAGCAAGGCACCACTGCCAAGAATCCAGAAACAAGCCAGTATTTACAACACAATCATCACCCTTTCTCCCCCTTATTCCCTCCATTACTTCAATCTCATTGCTGATTTCCCTGAAATCACCAGGCTGGGTTGGGGAGGTGAGGGGGAAGAACTTCCTCTGGGGAGATTCCTCAACCACTGCTGCTGAGGTGGCTATAGTCCACTCAGGGCTGCAAGGAAAAGGGTCCCTCCAGGCTTCTCTAGCAGATAAATGGCTCTCAGACATTTTCATCCTGATCCCAGGGCTTCCAAACCTCTGCTTAAGGGCTCACCTAACAGATAGGGATGCTCCACTTGCCATTTTTTTTGTTATTCAAAGCATAACTTAGCAGAACCGGGAACTATTTTCTTGTTCCTTCATTTGAGGCTCTTCTTGATTTTTATGATGGGCAGAAACGAGTGACCAGCACCCCTACAGAACTGAAAGGGCTTGCCTTGCATTTCACCGGCCACTCCGGATTTTCCCAGGCTGGAACCGGGTGGGGAGAGGCTATTTCCATCAGCTGCAACTTCCAGGGTGGGTAGCCTTTTGGAAGCAAATGGGAGTCAGCCAGCGCAGCCTGGGCCAGCATTAGCGCGCTTCAGCAAGCCTTTGCCCTGCACCAGCTTGCTTAATAGTTGTTGCGGGTCTTGTGATCCACCCAGCCCACCCTTGGAGGCTTCTTTCCCCTAAGGAGCTCTGCGGCATCCAATAGTCAAGATGCGCCAGGGCGGGAAAGGCTCGTTTGAGAAAACATGGCAGACCGGGCCAGGCGATGGGACGGCCCTCGCAAGCCCTCTCGGCCAGACTTTAGCTCTAAGGCAAACCTCAAGCTCCCCAAAGCGAAGGCACCGCCTGGCCCAACTGACCTCGGGGAACTTGGCTTGAGAAGATTGCCGGAGGACCCAACTCACGGATGCCGCGCAGACTCCCAAAGGGATTTCTAGCCAGCTGTTTAAATAAGGAGGGGAGGGGAGGGCAGCGCCAAAGGTCCGCAAAAGTGAGTGAGGTTGGCGGCAAGCCCGCTTCGTCTGGTGGGACTCGAGGCAATTCTCTGCCCGCCACCTCGGAGGGGCGGCAGACGCTGCCGCAAAGCTCATCTTCGCCAAAAGCGACAGCGGTGGCGGCGTGTAGCACGCCCTGGACTCTGCGGGAAGCGCCGCCCCGGCGAATGTATCCAGTGCCATCTTTTGCAATGGGGCTCGCGAAGGGTCGCAGAGTCTGCCTCCTCCCGGTGAACAGGCACGAGAATTACGGTACTGCTATTTCGAATGTGGAGGAGGGTCGGGAGGGATTGAAGTAATCTGAACGTTGAAAAAAAGAGGAAGCCCATCACTCTTATGTTTCTTACTTCGCCGCCCTTAGCGATCCTTTCTCCGGCAGGTTCGTTTGGATCAGCGCTTTGAACTCTCGCCTGCCATCCTGCCTTGTAGCCCGCCCGAAGTTGGTCCTCGCCCACCCGCTGCATCCCTCCAACGTTTCGTTGTCTGAGAGAAAAAAGCCAGGTTTCAAACCCACTTAGAGATCCCGGGCTTTGATGTAGGAACTTTGTGGCGTGGCTCGGCTGTTTTTCTAGGCTGTGAGAAAAGCGCTCTGCTTAAGCTCAAGCCACCCTTGGGAAAGCTTTCATGCTTTTTGGCGCTCGGTTAAGGCCTAGCGAGCAGCGGATTTCTTTCATCGGTAAAATGAAGCCATCTTCGTGGAAAACCTGTCATAACCTGATTCTAACCTGATTGTTGGGAGCCACCCTGCATGTTGGTCGACAATCCATGTAATTCCCAGACTTTTTAGTGCTGGAACCGTGCGCAAAATTGCGCTGCGCCCAAGCAGGCCTCGAATTGAATCAGACTCTCTTTGGAATCGACTTGTAACCCCGCAGCGAACAATTTGTATTCGCTTCGCGCTAGAGGTACAGGGAACCCGCCCCCCTCTTTGTTATTTCGAAACTACCTTAAGTTGCTCCACTTCGCTGGATAAAGCTGTGTTTCCTGGCTCTTCTTCCCCTCTGTTGTTTGTGGGTCTGATCTGCCTTATCAGAGTTTTCCCTGAGCGCTCAGTAACCAATTTAGAGAAAAGGAGCGTCTGATATCTCAAAAGGAGTAATTAAAGGCGGATGGGTTTAGTGCGCCCACTTCGCCAGTAATCAGAGATTAGTTCCAGTCTCCCTTTTTCTTTCAGTAACAAGGATGTTTTAAAGAAGCAATAGAGGGTTTTAACAATTCACTGCGCTTTGAAATAGACCTGAAATGCACCATATGGATTGCTTCGATCCTTCATTGCACCCCTTTTGGCCAGTAAGTTTCATCCAGAAAAGTTTATAACCGTTTTGCAAGGGTTTTCAGCCAAAATTGTTACAAAGTTCTTTCTCCCCCGTGGAAGAAAGTACACCTGTACGCGCGTGCGTACACGGGCAGGAACATATTCAAAGGGCATCCTCGGTGACTCTATTTCTTAGATATTAAGCAGGAAAGATGCGGTCGGCTGTTCTTTCATTGAATCCAAGCCACTCATTCAATTTTGAAAACGCAAACTTTTTCTATTTCTAGAAGAGAATCTTCCTTCCAGCACCACCCCAGTCGGAATTTTCTTATTTTAGAAATGTAAATCTGAAACGTATCTCATATTTAAAAGTGAATTGTGGCTTTTTTTTGTTATAAAGACAGGACAGATTTGGAGAAGTTATATTTTCTCTCCGCCTCCACAAATATTATATAGCAAGGGAGACTTGGTGGTATGTTTAGATCTTTGATTTATTCCATATGTGACATGCACAGCTAAAAACAACCCGACTTTTCAGTTGGTTACAAAGTCATCATCCATTTTGCAACCAACTCAAGTGGGGCTTTCAGTAAAGGAGTAGTTACGGCCGAAGGTATAAGCAGAATCTGGTTGAGTAACCCCGGATTGGTCGCTTCCCCATCTCTCTTGAAAGAAATTGGTTGAAGAGGCGGGTTGGAGTGTCTTTTAAAATAGAAGTGGTGATCCTTAGGTCTTACCTGCTGCTTGCCCCAAGACTCCCGATCCGGCCAAACGAAGAAGGAGAAATCCCCAGAGCAGAGGAACTGTATCCATTTCGGGGAGGATGGAGAAACCCTTGATGGGGAAAGAGCGATTCCTCCCAAGCCGCGCTGGGTCAGGGAGAGCGGGATTTTCTTTTGCAACTCTCCGGGAGGATTTCGTCCCAGAATTTCCTCTGCCGAGCTTTCAAATCCGTTCCGGAGCTTCCTCCCCTTGGCTCCGCAATAAACCCACTTCCCTAAAAGATCGCCGAGCTGGAGTGAACTCCTGACGTTCAGCAGAAAAAAAAACCGCTCCGCCGGCAACACACGGAGCAACAGAACCGCGCACGCCCAGAGCACGCGAGAGAGCCCCGTTCTTCAGAGCGGCGTTGCCTTTAGCACGGCACCACCGGCTAGGTTCTTCGCAGAGCCGCCGAAAAAAGGCCGCCTTGGCATCGCACCAAGCCAGCCGTGCACCCCTCCCGCCCCCTCAGTCCTCGCCCGAGCCTGGCGGCGGAGAGCGAGAGCGCAACGAACGGCGCTCCCGGCGAAGGGCGATTTCCCAGCCCGCGGCGCCCGGCTGCTTCCCCCCGCGCGCTTCCAGTTCGAGCTCTCAAGCGGCTGGCGGTCGGCTTCACGCCAGAGGCGTTTTCCGGATGCGGCGCCGCGAACGACTCCTCGAGTGCTGCTCTATAGCCGCCGCCGCCGCTGCTGCCGCCGCCGCCTCCTTCCTCCGACGCGTGGGGTCTTGACTGAAGCTGTGCGGACGCTGGTGCGGGGTTCGCTGCTCTTCCCTTTCTTTGCCTCCGCCTCGGTTTCCTCGCAGTCTTTTCAGGCAGAGCAGCATGTGGATGTCAGACAGAAAGGCAGAGCTATCCGATTACACGCTCGACCAGGGCCCGCCCCTTCTATGTTTCTCATTTAAACAAAACACACCGAGAGGGGAGGGGAGGGGAGGGAGCCCGCGAAGCGCCGCGCAGTCCACGTTCAGAACTCGGCCGGGATCCAGCGGGGCAAGCGAAGGCGCGGCGATCGGCAGAGGCGGCATAATCATTCTGTGTCCCTTCCTGCAGCACCGGACCGGCTTCGACTTTCTCGGCTGCAGCCCATGCCCGGCTCTTGGGAGAAGCAACAAGTCCGGCGCGGAGGCCTCTTTCTCGCTGGGCGTCTTGGCTGGGCCTGCTTGTGTGGAGGGGAGTTTCTCCCCACCAGCTCTCGGGAGGTCGCGTGAACGTGCTACATATTGCATCCCTCCATAAAGTGATAGGTATTTAAAATTAAAATTCCGCTGTCGGCGGAAGGTGATAGCTTCAATGCTTCACAGCTTTCTCCAACTATAAACCGGAGTTCTGAGCTCCAAACACCACCCACACAAAGAGAGAGACACAAATAACACTTAAAAGGCTGGCAGGAGATACCTTATGCGCTACAACATAGTGGAATGATTTTTTTGCATAAATCTTGCCAGCAGCATTTTACCCCTAGGAAAATGATAACTATGCAGCCTCAGACCGAGATTGGTTTAAATAACTTGTGGTTGAAAAAAAAAAAAAAAAAAGAATGGAGCCGTTTTTTTGCTTGGGTAAGAGAAAGCAGGCTTGCCAGTTATACAAAACTCTTACCTTTGGCAGAATGAAATCAGACGTAAATCAGCATAATATAGGCATTGTGCATTTTTCATCCAAAGTCTAGATCAATATTTTTTTTACTTATTCTGTCATTATACACTGTCCCTCACCCCTCTGTGCACACATGGCATCTAGCTGACCCCACTGGGACTGGAAGAAAAGCAGGATCAGGGCCATTTAATACTTGTATGGGAAGCCTTGTGGAAGATTTTGTAGGCTCTGGACTGGGAAACTGTTTTTGTTTTCTTTCAAATCCCAGAAGAAACAGTTAGCAAATATTGGATGAGAGCTCCTGGAGGTGCTCATGAAGTCACCCATCATTGATCTTGGGATGTTTTGCTCTTGGAACAGATGCTGGTGCAGCCTATTCCCCACACACACTCACGCACACATACTTCTGCCTGGTCCCTGGGAAGGAGAAGGGCAAGCAGGCAGGGCACATGCAACAAAACTACAGCAGCTGATTCTTATGACAAGGTCTGGCATGGTACCCTGTGGATATGCCAAGATGCTGCTGCTAGTTATGGTAACAGTCATGAGAAGCCTATTAGCACATTGGCTTTTCTCATAAGAGCTGCTTTGGAAGCACTCCCAAGGCATCTGCTGAAAGCCCGCGTGCATACATAGGCTTCCCTGCGCCCAGTTTGTAAGGATAGTAAGAAAGGGCCCTTTCTTACTGTTCCTATAAGACTGAGCTGCTCAGTTTCCACCAGTTTTCAGTACAGAGAAATTATCATCAGACGGACCAGTGGAGCATAGGCTCTGAAAAAATTCCCAAAGTAGGTTGAACAAACAATATGCCAATCATGGACTGCAGTTGTGCCAGCTATTCTACAAGACTAGTCCTTATGAACTAGCACATAGGTTCAAGTCAGTCAGGACAATCAATCAAGTTCTAATGTTGGTCGTTATATAAATCGTTTGGAAGTACATGTCATTGAACTGAGGCATATTTCTGATGACACATGGAGGTAGCTGGTATTTAAGTATTCTTGAATGCCAAGAACAAAAATGAGTACTGTGACTTCAGTTAAAGCCTAGAATTGGAATTGCTTGCATCCACATAGGTCAATTCTTTTTCTCTCCCCTCCCCCCAAAAGAGAGGGAAATCACACACTTCATTGCAATACTTAGACACTGGCTTTGTGCTAGAGGAATGGGAAGTAGAAAGATCCTTGAAAAAGCCAAGGTTTTGATTGAATCTCTAAAGAACAATATGAAGTCAAAACTAAAAAGAATACAGTGTTAAGGAAAAGATATAGGGGTGGTGAAATTGGCAAATTAAGAAAAAAAAATCATGATGCTGTGACAAGAAGAGTTACTGTGCTCAAAAGCTCAAGTGCTTGTACCTGGTGGCTACCCATAAAACCTCACCATGAAATCTCACGGTTGACTGGGGTGGTGCCTAAAAGCATCACCAGAAGAGGGCAATGGCAAACTGTCTCCCTGTTGGTGCTAAGAAAACAACGCTGGTATGGGCAGATAGTTACCAGAAGCTGAGCCCATCTTGAGGAAGAGTGTGCCTTCATTTTATGGCAAAAACTATTCTAAAAAAAATTGGAAGACAGATGGCTTAAATTAGTCTTTCCCCAAGCTGACACTTTCCAGATTTACTAGATTAAAATATTTGGCCAAGGTAACTGGAATTAATGAGAATTGCAACCTTTGAGGAAGATGTATAGTTCTTGTGTTTTTTAAACATGTTACTATCCTAAGGATACATTAATATCCATTTTCTTGTTTTAATTTCAAGTGTGCACTTTAGTATTTTGAATCAAAATCTGTAATTCAGAGAGATGGAGAAATTATGTCTTTATGAAATTATGTCTAGTATACCTTTTACTTAATCTGATGAGTTGCTAAATTTGGTTAAAACAGAACACTCTGTAGCTTTTCCTGGTTGTGAAAATTGTACAGAAGAAGCATATTTTCCCCTACACTGATGCTTATCAATCAAACCTTAATTTCTTCTCCCACCTTTCTCTTACTTTCTAATGTCCAGTATAGCCTGGAGTCTAAACCATATGAAGAACAGCTGCAGATTTTGGGTCTGGCTAGTCTAAATAAAAGAAGAATTAGGGGTGACATGATAGCAGTATTTGAGGGGCTGCTGCAAAGAAGAGGGGGTCAAACTATTCTCCAAAGCATGAGAGGTCCGGACAAAAAAAAAGGTTGGAAACTATTTTTTATTTATTTCTTTGGTTTGTCAATTGCTTACAAGGTAATAGGTATAAGTAAAAAAAACATAGTTATGAATACAGGAAATGGATACGAATAAGAAAAAAAAACAATAGGACAGGGATGGTAGGCACGTTGGTGCGCTTATGCACGCCCCTACAGACCTCTTAGGAAAGGGGTGAGGTCAATAGTAGACAGTCTAAGGTTAAAGTTTTTGGGGTTTGGGGAAGAAACCACAGAGTCGGGTAGAGTATTTCAGACATTGACTACTCTGTTGCTGAAGAAGGAAACTAACCAAAGAATTAAGGAGAAGCTTCCTAACAGTGAGGACAATTAACCAGTGGAACCAATTAACCAGCTTACCTCCAGAAATCATGGGCGCTCCATCACTGGAGGTTTTTAAGAAGAGGCTAGACAATCACTTATCTGAAATAGTATAGGTCAGTGATGGCTAATCTTTTTGGCATCAAGTGCCCAAAGTGCACACAGGGTGCGCATCCCCAAAATGCAATACACATGCATCCCCTGCGCATGCACCTGCCCCGTGCATGCACCTCGGCCCCGCATGCACTCTGCCTCCCACGCATGCACGGCAGAGACCCAAAGACCAGCTAGTTGGTGGGAGGTGCGCGCGCATGTGTACATGGCAAAGCTGAACTGGGGCATGCTACCTCTGGCATGTGTGCCATAGGTTCGCCATCACGGATATAGGTTCCCCTGATTGAGCAGAGGACTAGACTAGAAGACCTCCAAGATCCCTTCCAGCTTCTAGTCTA